GTTAGTGTCAACTATTACCAGTGTTACGATTTAGGTCACCATTTCTTTATTCTTGGTTCCAGCCATGGCAAGCATTTCAGATATTCCGGATTGGTAAGTCAGTATACACTACTCATTTGTACTCAGTGGCTTTTTTAAGTTTTTGGTAACCTGCGGTCAGGCGGTCCTTCTTGCTTTTTTGCTTTGGAGGCGAGGAGAAAAGGACGGCGTTCTCTTTTTCCCCTTTCCTCGTTCGCTGACTTTCGCGCTATCCCGTTCCCCGAAAAAAAATAACGCCTGATCGCGGGTTAGGTGTTTTGTCAACTCGACTTTTTGTTCTTATTCCCAGGACCTCTCTTTTTTTCGCCGGGGGTAACTAAGACGATGACGGTAGCGATAGCCTGGAGAACAGGCGCTATTTTGGCGCGTTTTTAAGGCGAGCACGAAGCGGGCCTGTAGCGTGAGACACATATGCCTTCCACCATCGCGCTCCACGCCCACGCCCGCTTCGCGCTTGCCTCCCCTCGCTTAAAAAAAGGCGAAAAAATAACGCCTATTCTACAGGATGCAGCAGCGAAAACGTCACTTAAAACTTGAATTCGCACTGTTCCAAAATTAATCAAATCTTAGTTAAATGTTGGCGAATTTTTCTGGATTTTTCCCCTGCCTTTCCCGTTTTTGTTGCTTAACCGTCCTATTTTAAAACGGTGGATTTTACTGATCCATTGAGTTGTGCTGAAACGGTTCTTTGTCATCATTCAGGTGCTTTTTCGAAGCAGGGCATGATTTTAGTCACGACAGCACACCGACTCCTCAAATGCTCACGCAAATGCTTCAATTTTCGCCCATTAGTCACGTAAAAAAGGTAAAGCAGAGAAGATTTGTTGCTTTTTTTTGGGGGGGGAGGGGGTGTGTGTGGAGGGGGAGGGGGTTGGTGAAGGTGCAACTGAGGCAAATAGTGAATTCGCATCACCTTGCTTGGGAAAATCTTGAATTTTCAACATCTTGTCACCCCAATCTTGAATGTGCCACTTCTTTCCCGGTAACATCTCGAATTTTTAACATCTCAGTGGAGACGAATAGTGACGATAACTACTGTTTGTATTTTAATCCTGTTTTCTTCGAAACATGTTGTGGTTCTTAAAGTAACATTTTCCTTTACATTATAGGTGAAGACCCCTACATTAATTTTGGTGGGAGAAAAAGATCTTCGAGTTCCCTGCAGTCAAGGAAAGATGTTCTATAAATTACTAAAAGCGCAAGGAACTGAGACTAGGTGAGCGCAAAAATAGGCAACTGTCTCTTACAAAGTAAAACCATGACTGAAATCGTATCGGATAAAAGGTCTTCATTGATTATCTTGTTTATGACACAAAACGTTCGTTCTAAAAAGGGAAACGAAATGATTTATCGTATGGTTAGCCTGCTGTTGACGTTTCCATATTTCTAGACTGCAAAACACTCGGTTTTTATCTCAAAATCATTGAAGGGAGAAAAAAACCGTATTTTTAGCGTCTCTTTCCAGTCTCGCTCTCTGTTTTCAGCCTCGTTCCAGACTTTTTGTTGGACTTGAATACGCAAAAATACGGACTGTTTTGTAGTCTACCATATTTCTGCCACGGGGGTTGGTGGGCAGTTATAATTGCAAATTTAATTTTTTTTTTTTATCTGTTTTGACAAGGAGTTAGCGCTCAAAAGTCAGCTTTCTGGAGATTATTCTGGAGAATTTGTACTTGTGTAGTGGGACTTAAAAGGGTTAAATTAATTTGTCAAATCAGTTGTTAGCAAAAATTTTGAACCAGGAAGGAGTGAAAGCGCCAACGAAGGAACGAAACATGAAGAATAATTTCAAAGTAAAGGGATTAAAATTGATAGTACTTGAACTAGTCTCCCTCGCAGCCGTTTTTAGTATCGTCACGCAACGCTCCTCCCCACAAACTTTGTGGGGAGGAGCGTTGCGTGACGATACTAAAAACGGCTGCGAGGGAGACTATACTTGAACACGAATCTCACAGCGTTTTTTCATTATTTTCAGGTTGCTGTCCTA